AGGAGTTGTTTCACTACTTTCAACAATCTTGTCACTTGAAATACCCTAGCAAATATAAAGAAACATGGAAAATGTCTAAAAAAATGCAATTTACAAGTAACATTGAAAATACATGTTGTTAATAAGATTACTTACAACAGTATGAGACAGATTTTGAAAGTCAGCTCCTTTTGCATTAAGATGAGCCAAAACTAGCTTTAGTGTTTGATCTTGTTCATTAACCTTTGTAGACAAAGCCTTGAGTTCAACATCTTTTTTTTCTCAAGCTCAAGTTTTCCATTATGCAGTGCAACTTTAAGATCTTTAATTTCTTCCTTAGATGATCCTTTGCTGGAGGAACATTGAAATATCTGTTGTAAGTGACTCCTGTGCCGACACCCTTTAAAAATCCTCCCTTTTCCTTGCCAAAAACTAATGTCATGGCATCCGTGCCTGGTTCAACATTAACTTGTCCTTTTATCTGCTTTTCTTGTTCCATCTAGCACACAAAATATTAATAATTATTGTCCTAATAAAACTGATTAAAATCTTTATAGTAATAGTAATAAAAAAGTTTATTGAAGTTACTAGTTTATCCGCCATGAGTTTAACATCTTCATCCTTAAATACTCCTTTACTTTCACGTCCTTTACACCACATAATTGACCTTGGGGGCATTTCTTCCTTTGAAATCACTTTCTCTTCAATCTTGATAAAAAAAATTAAATTGTAAACAATATAAAATAAAATTCTGTTAAGTAGCATACTATGAAGGTAATATAATGGATCATATAGCTAAAAACAAAGCTTACCAACTTCCGCCTAAGAGTAGTATACCCCCCTCGTCCCATCCGATGAGCGTACTTTGACATCTTGCGCGCTTTGACTGTCTTTTGTGACACAACCTGTCTAAAAAAAAAAGATTTGTCAAACACTTTTTGGTAATTTTATGATAAATGAATGAAGAAGTTTTGGGAAAAAGTTGTAACATTAAACTCCTCAGATTGCGTATATGTCACAAATTTGTTCCAATCATCTTTTTCAGTAATTATTGCCCGATATCGAACAGGGACTTCTCCAAGCTTTTTGGAATTCCCTAGATGTGGCTTGATGTAAGCTGCATACAATTTCCTTCTGAAGTTTCGTAGAAGGATACCAAGCCTATTCATCACAAATCTTTTTCCAGTTTCATCAACTTTAAAATAGCGCTAAAATGAAACAATAATGAATTTGTTAGTATTTAATACATGATTTCTAAATAAAATATGAGATGCAGTTAAAAAAAGTGAAAAAAATATTTACTGTAATCTCTTCCTAAAGTTTGTCCTTCACTTCCGGTTTTACTTTCGTCCAGCAAAGAGCACTTAATCCCACCTTCTCGCGGACAAGATCTCCCAAATAACTAACAAACACTGCATTATTCTTCCCTGTAAACTTACCAAATTCATCAAACTTCACACGTTTTTTTCTACCACCAGAATTGACATACTCGGTCTTCAGCTTTGGCAATCGAGTCAGTCCCCTCTTCCTAGGTGACCTTGTAGGAACTTTGCTTTGCATTTCTTCTTCCGAATCTGAATGGCTATTGTAGTCATTGTCATTATTTTCACCATTTTCTGTGTCCGATTCATAAAATTGTGTTCCATCATCTTGCTCATATTCCATATCATAGTCAGGCATATCCTCATGTTGTTCCTTGTTCACCTCCATGATTCTTCTGTTGACATGAAACATATGAATTAAGTTTGATTATTTGTATGTTTAATAAAAAGTATGACAAACTTATATTACATACAAAATTTCACATACACATTTCATCGAACAGTTGGTGTGCAACAAGCATAGTAATATGAAGAATCAAAAAATTTATGTTTTATGTATAATCCCCTAATCAATACAATCAATAACATTGACACCATATACAGAGAATATACTTACAGTAGAAATGCGTGATGAATGTTGCCGAATGATGAACTGAAATATAATCCAACTGAGATCGATATAACCTAGAGAAAAACCACACAATGGTTGAAAAAATCAAAGTCTTTTAAATAATACATTGTTAGTACGTCCTAATTTGAGGGCGGTTACCAAATTTACCGGATTTTCCTTCATCTGATGGATTGATCTTCATAGTTTTGGCGGTGAGATAGATGAATACTTCCCGCGTTGATTTGGAGCCCAAAACAAAATGGAAAAAATGTTTGCCTCCCATTATATTTGCTTAATTTTGATTGACGAATTCAATATTTTTCCAAATTTTGATCTGATAGTGAACTCATACGATGAGAAGCGTAAATCGTGGTTTGGAAACATGTTCTGGCTTTTGAAACATTATTACGAGTTATTAGATAAAAATAGAAATGTTACAACTTTGGTCCTTGTAAATTAACAATTTTACGTTAGGGTACAACTATATCACTATTGGAAATGAAAAATATTGAACATTCAATTATGTATATACAATGGGATAATAGTATAATAAAACGAAAATAAGAATAAGGTCTAGTTAGCGTACTAATTTTTCCGTGTGAACACTTTGTTAAGATTTTTTATTTTATTTTATATTAAGTAAGAAAAAAAAATCCATACACCTACTATAAACCCATTTCGGTCCTAAACCCGTACCCATATTACAAACCCATTTTGGTCCCAAACCATTACCAACACCCCTACATGACCTAATGATGGTCAACCCGTACCAACACCCGACCACCTGCAACCCATACCCATATTATAAACCTATTTTGGTCCCAAACCATTACCAACACCCCTACATGACCTAATGATGGTCAACCATTACCAACACCCAACCACCTGCAACCCATACCCGTATTAGAAACCCAATATGGTCCCAAACCATTACCAACACCCCTACATGACTTAAGGATGGTCAACCATTACCAACACCCGAGAACTTGCAACACATACCCATATTATAAACCCATTTTGGTCCCTAACCATTACCAACACCCCTACATGACCTAATGATGGTCAACCCGTACCAACACCCGACCACCTGCAACCCATACCCATATTATAAACCCATTTTGGTCCCAAACCATTACCAACATCCCTACATGACCTAATGATGGTCAACCATTACCAACACCCGACCACCTGCAACCCATACCCGTATTAGAAACCCAATTTGGTCCCGAACCATTACCGACACCCCTACATGACCTAATGATGGTCAACCATTACCAACACCCGACTACCTGCAACCCATACCCATATTAGAAACCCATTTTGGTCCCAAACCATTACCAACACCCCTACATGACCTAATGATGGTCAACCATTACCAACACCCGACCACCTGCAACCCATACCCATATTATAAACCCATTTTGGTCCCAAACCATTACCAACACCCTACATGACCTAATGATGGTCAACCATTACCAACACCCGACCACCTGCAACCCATACCCGTATTAGAAACCAAATTTGGTCCCAAACCATTACCAACACCCCTACATGACCTAAGGATGGTCAACCATTACCAACACCCGATCACTTGCAACCCATACCCATATTATAAACCCATTTTGGTCCCAAACCATTAACAACACCCATACATGACCTAATGATGGTCAACTCGTACCAACACCTGACCACCTGCAACCCATACCCATATTATAAACCCATTTTGGTCTGAAACCATTACCAACACCCCTACACGACCTAATGATGGCCAACCATTACCAACACCCGACCACCTGCAACCCATACCCGTATTAGAAACCCAATTTGGTCCCAAACCATTACCAACACCCCTAAATGACCTAATGATGGTCAACCCGTACCAACACCCGACCACCTGCAACCCATACCCATATTATAAACCCATTTTGGTCCCAAACCATTACCAACACCCCTACATGACCTAATGATGGTAAACCATTACCAACACCCGACCACCTGCAACCCATACTCGTATTAGAAACCCAATTTGGTCCTAAACCATTACCAACACCCCTACATGACCTAATGATGGTCAACCATTACCAACACCCGACCACCTGCAACCCATACCCGTATTAGAAACCCAATTTGGTCCCAAACCATTACCAACACCCCTACATGACCTAATGATGGTCAACCTGTACCAACACCCGACCACCTGCAACCCATACCCATATTATAAACCCATTTTGGTCACAAAACATTACCAACATCCCTACATGACCTAATGATGGTCAACCATTACCAACACCCGACCACCTGCAACCCATACCCGTATTAGAAACCCAATTTGGTCCCAAACCATTACCAACACCCCTACATGACCTAATGATGGTCAACCATTCCAACACCCGACCACCTGCAACCCATACCCGTATTAGAAACCCAATTTGGTCCCAAACCATTACCAACACCCCTACATGACCTAAGGATGGTCAACCATTACCAACACCCGAGCACTTGCAACCCATACCCATATTATAAACCCATTTTGGTCCCAAACCATTACCAACACCCCTACATGACCTAATGATGGTCAACCCGTACCAACACCCGACCACCTGCAACCCATACCCGTATTAGAAACCCAATTTGGTCCTAAACCATTACCAACACCCCTACATGACCTAATGTTGGTCAACCCGTACCAACACCCGACCACGTGGAAACCATACCCATATTAATTTAAAAAATGATTTTATATATTTATAATTATTTTATATATAAATTTATATTTTGTATGGTAATAATAAAAACAAAGCAAGTATTGATGTTACACTTATTTAATATTACATATATTAATGTAAATAATATATTAATGTATAACACAATATCGATAATCATTATCACAGCCGTCGTTCAAATTGTACCTCCCCTGTAGCCTGCTATTAATTGGAAGTGATGGCCTACGTCGATGTCCCTTTAGCTCCGAATGACGATCCATTTAAAGCCTCCCCTTATATCAAAATCGTCATTCTTACATCTTCATTACCAACATACGATAGATTCTATTATTTGCTCCTCCTCTGTGAAAACAACTCCGACGATCAATGGAAACAAAAATGAATGCTGATCCATGGGCAAATCCGAGGTTCCAACTATGGAGTGTAAGCAGTGAACCACCGCAAAACACACCATTAGTAGAGTACGGGAAAGCAAACGATAAGAGATTCACCATTAGAGTTGTACATGGCGGGTTTTTTACAGACTATCCAGGTAAGTCGTATCAAACGACAAAAGTTAACTTTATTTCATATGTCAACATCGATTTGTTGAACATGGAGATGCTTGGTCGTTTTTCGAAAAGCTTGGGGTATACAACTATGGGTAACTGGTATCATATGCCAACCGAAGAAAACTGTGGGTTGTCAATGATTCTAATTCTGAATGATGATTGTTTGGGAACTTTCAAGATGATTGTTTGGGAACTTTCAAGATGATCGTTAGGTCACACCAATTCCCCTACTTTTTGACGAACTCACCATCCAAAAGGGTTGAGAAGCTTATTCATCTGTTTGTAACAGAACACCCAATGGCAACAGTTGATGATGGAATAACATACATCAGGCATATGCTAAACATGACCATTCCAAGAGAAAAAAAAATGGAAGATGCAATGGACATGGCGAAGGAGAATGTGATAGCATGGACAAATATAGTGTAGGGGACCTATGTTGTACTCCATTTTGTGTTTAATATAGAGTACATATGAAACTCTTTTTTGTAAGCAATATGATGTTGTTTTGATTATAAATGTCTTAGGGGCAAAATGGGAATTCATTATAATTATAATTTTATGTTGTTATTTATATTGTGTTTCATACTTATAACTGAGTCAGTATTGTCCCTGTTTTGCTGCATTGTTTTGTAAACAAAGCAATGTACTTTTCAACTTATTTCCACTTTAGAGGTAAGTTATTGGTTAGATTATTTAGTTTGTCCCATGTTTGTTATCAACATATGGAGATTATGCTAAAGCAGGGGTATATTCGTCAATTAATTGTTTTTATCATAAAAGAAAGAAAATGTTATAATTTCCCATTAAAACTGTGTTTGAGATATAAGGGTATAATGGTCATTCAGTATATATAATGAAAAGAAAAAGGAAACATCATCTAAGGGTATGCATCATCATAGTATTGTCCCTGTTTTGCTGCATTGTTTTGTAAACAAAGCAATGTACTTTTCAACTTATTTCCACTTTAGAGGTAAGTTATTGGTTAGATTATTTAGTTTGTCCCATTTTTGTTATCAACATATGGAGATTATGCTAAAGCAGGGGTATATCCGTCAATTAATTGTTTTTATCATAAAAGAAAGAAAATGTTATAATTTCCCATTAAAACTGTGTTTGAGATATAAGGGTATAATGGTCATTCAGTATATATAATGAAAAGAAAAAGGAAACATCATCTAAGGGTATGCATCATCATAGTATTGATAGAAAAAAAATAAGTTTATCTTGGATACATATATGATGTGCATAACTACAATTAAACAATAAGAGTGTGAGAAGAATCAGGGGTATTTTTGTCATTTGTTTTTATTTCCAATTGTGAAGGGTAATTAAAAACAATGTGCAACCACAGTTAAGTATATTGTCTCAAATGAGGAAAGTATGATTGATGGTAAATGTGGTTATCTTAGATCAGTTCTATAGGAAGCAGGGGTATTTTCGGCAAATGTTACTCTTTTAGTTTATTGTTATGTTTGTTTCGTAAACTAATCACTTACAAACAGTCAGACACCCCAGTTGGTAAGTGTAAATGTAGTTAAAGGTATATTTTGGAATGTCATGGGTTCGAACCCCATTAGGAACAATTTTTTTCTCTTTTTTTTTGTTTTTTCTCGATATATCCTTGATCATCCACACCTATTGCGTAGATATGAATTTTTAGACTATATGCATTCCCATCGAATCACTCTCTTCTTAATACAAACGCATTGCAACTACGTTTATACTTCAACCACGAATTGATACTTCAACATGAAATTCATTCAGGTACACATACTACCTTAATTTATACAGGGACATAAAAAACAATTAGCTTCGGAATATTAATCTTTGTTATTTCGTTTGGTCATGTTTCATTATATATTCTTCAATTAACAAGTATTTGGTTTCCAGTTATTGGATTTAATTGTAATGTGATCTTTTTCGTTTATGCACACCAACTGTTTGTTAAAATGCTTCAATGAACAGGAAACATATATTGCTTGTTGATGTTGTTATAAACTGAATATGGATAAGTCTTGGATGGGAGCCTACAGAACATCAGAAACGTATGTAAAGGGTGTTGCATAATTTTTGAAATATGCAGTACATAATTACAAGATTTCTAAAAATATGGATGTTGTAGATACCAAAAAAAAAAGATAAGAATTCCATGTCCATGTGTCAAATGTGTAAACCACATATCTCATTCGGTGGATATGGTAGATGATCACCTATTCAGGAATGGAATTGATCAAACATACACGAATTGGAATAAGCATGGAGAAACAGAGCAACCACCCAGAAAGTATATATATGAACATAATTTTGACATGGACACGTCATACGTTGTTGATTCGACGACCATGAACACAGAAATGCCAGCAGATGCTGCAGAAACAGTAGAGATGGTGGAAGCTGTAAAAGAAAATTTTATTGGGAACCCTGAGAAGTTTAGAGAACTGATTGAAGATGCCGGGAAGCCCTATATAAAGGGTGTCCTAATTTCACAAAATTATCTGCAGTCATACAATTACTCAGCTTAAAGAGTAAGTATGGAGTATCAGATAAGTGCTAGACAGAATTATTGGTTTTGATCAAAAATATGTTACCAGAAGGTAACGAAATGTACAGTAGTACATTCGAGGCCAAAAAAGCGTTCAAGGCAATGGGTTTAGGGTATACTAAGATACATGCATGTGCCAACAACTGTATACTTTACAGAAACGAATACACAGACATGGAAGCATGTCCTACTTGTGGTAAATCAAGATGGAAGGTCGATGATCAAAAAAATAAAATTTACAAAAATATTCCTGCAAAAGTTTTGTGGTACTTTCCAATTATTCCGCGCTTGAAAAGAATTTTTCAGTCTAAGACTACTGCAAAAGATTTAACATGGCACGCAACAGACAGAAAGGTGGATATTGGTGTTTTAAGTCACCCAGCTGATTCACCAGCATGGGCTGCCATTGATGACAAATATCCTGACTTTGCTAGCGAGCCAAGAAATTTGCGGCTAGGCATTTCGGCTGACGGGGTCGATGTGAATAGAGGAAATAGGAGTCATAGTGTGTGGCCTATTTTAACTGTCATTTACAACCTTCCACCATGGTTGTGTATGAAGAGAAAGTTCATCATGCTTTCTTTATTGATTTCGGGAACACCAGGAAACGATATTGATGTGTTCCTAGCAGCTTTTATTGATGATTTGCAATTATTATTTGATATTGGAGTTGAACATACGATGCATATGCACAAGAGCAGTTTAAACTACGTGCAGTAGTGTTATGGACTATTAATGATTATCCTGCTCTAGGTACATTAAGTGGTTGTCCATACAGCGGATTTCAAGGTTGTGTTGTGTGTGCCGAAGAAACAATGCATTAGACTCACTGGATCGAAAAAGCAGAGTTATGTTGGTCATAGACGATTTCTACCGCATGATCACCCGTTCAGAAGACAAAAAAGGCATTCAATGGACAACAAGAGTTCTCACCCTCTCCAGAACCTATGAATGGGGAGGAAGTATATAACAGGGTCAAATTTATAATTAATAAATGGGGAAAGGTGTCTAAGGGCAAGGAGGCAGAAATCCAACAATCTACAAGTGGAAGAGGTGGGAAGATAAATAAAAAAAAGAGAAAATCACAGAAAGTGGGTACTTCAGATGTGGGCCAGCAAAATAATACATACTGGAAGAAATTCAATATATGGTATAGACAGCTAAGGTATTGGCGCGACAATTTGATTCCACATTGTATAGATTTTATGCATGTCGACAATTTGGTATTCCCCCTGAAAATCATAACACATGTGGAATTCAAATAGGTGTAGATAGTAGTTCTATTACGGACGGTAGTCCTCTATCAGCTGCTAAATCGGTAGAAGTTTCCGCCGAACTATTCAGAAAAACACATTTCTTTGTATTGCACAATACATCTGAAGTACTCCCGTATATCAAGTAAGTTTTTTTACATGTATGTTTTTTTTGTTATAATATTAACATTAACGTATTGACAGACGACACTTGGATTTTTTGCAACATCAACACCCTACTAAACGAAAGGCACAGCTAGAACAAGAGCACAGTAATACATTTGGTCATTGGTTACGAAAGGAGATATATTCATTTCATATATGTTGTGTTTTTTGTTATGTATTTCTTTATATCTTAAATTCATTATCTAATTACAATTCAGGTAGAGAGAGAGTTAGGGGGCTGTAGAGAAAGTATAACAGAGACACTGAGATGGATTTCACATTGACCCAATAAGAACATTATTAAATACGATATATATGCTATCAATGGATATACTTTTCGTACAAAAGCTCGTGAAGGTAAAGTTTACAAAAACAGTGGGGTTAGTGTCGTTGCAACTGACACACACATCAGTAAAGAAGTTGTAACATATGCCAAAAACACTTATCATGGTGTTTTACAAGAGATATGGGTACTAGATTATCATTTTAAGCGAATTCCAATTTTCATGTGTGACTGGGTTGACAATAGAAATGGGGTTAAAAGGGATAAATTGGGGTATACACTAGTTGAACTAAAAAGATTAGGCCATAAAGGTGATCCCTTCATATTGGCCTCACAAGCACAACAAGTATTTTATGTCACAGACCCACTCGATCAAAAAATGTCTATCGTGTTCAATACACCTCCCAAAAATTACAGAGATACATATGAAGATGTAGATGAAGAATTTAGTACTGTAGTTCCTCAGAATGATAATATATTGCCACGTGTAGACACACTTGAGTTGCAGAAGGAAAATGATTATTTTCGTACTGATTGTCATGGTATTGTTATACGTACGGTATGTGTTTCTTAATGTCATGAATTACATTTGTAGCGATAATATTTTTCCTTCTTTTAACATTTAATGATCTTTATTTTTTTTTTTGTAGAAGGGAAAGGTCAAACCTTCATCCTAGCGTTACGTAGAGAATAAGAAAATGACAAAAAATGACGATGTACTTTCCTTAATATTTTTTACCATATTATACCATCAAATTATTCTGGTGTAATATTGTTATAACTCAAAGTTATTTTTTTTTCAGTTTTTTACTGTAATGGTGGATGATATGTTATAACATAAACTCAATGTTATAGTAATGTACTTTCGTTATGCAATGTTAGACAAAGTTGTATTCTTTTCATTTATTTATCATACTATTCTGTTAAAATAAGTTGTATTCTTTTCATTTTTAATGGTG